AGAGCTGAGCCAGTTTGAAGCCAGGAACCTCTTTCGGGTCTCCCACGTGGGTGCAGGGTCCCAAGGCTCTAGGACGTCCTTGACTGCTTTCCCAGGCCACAAGCAGGGAGCTGGATGGGAAGTGGAGCTGCTGGGATAAGAACCAGCAGCCATATGGGATCCCAGTGCTTTCAAGGTGAGGACTTTAGCTGCTAGGCCACGCCGCCGGGCCCCTGGAGGTTTCTTAAGGATGCAGTCAGTCCCCACACCCTATTCCTAAGTTAGAACTGAGCCGAAGGGCAGAAGGCAGTGTTCTACTCTGAATCCCAACACTAGAAGGGCTTGCTTAGTCTGCGGTTAGGTTTGTTTATGCAAAACTGATGCAAATGAAACAGTGGCATTGTTCCCATCTTCCTGCCCCACCCTGCGAGGCAGTGGAGCAATTGGGACATGAAGCGTTGCCCATATGGGATGTCAGTGCCTGTAGGTGGAGGATTAGCCAATTGAGCCATCGTGCCAGCCCTCACATGGAAAGATTGAAATCCACATTGAGAGGCTTACCTCTCTCTGGGTGACATCCCACAGGGGTTTTTGTCCTCACGTCCCAACATATTGGCAATCAGAATCACTAGATTTCCTTCTTTCTTCCAGGGCTTGGAATCGTGCTCAAGAGATTGAGCCCTCGTGGTAGGCATGGGGGGGGGGGTAGGGATTTTCATCTCCAGGGAGTGCTGAGTGGTGGACAGCCCCCAGGTTCCCCATCCCAGAAGCAGAATTGTTAAATGGCTCTCACAGGTTGGCACTAGTGGAAAAATCTGGCCCAAAGATAAGTTTTAGCTTGGTGTATATATAGTGCTTTAAATTATTTTAAATTTTTTGTTAGATAAAATTTCACATGAAGGTCTAATTTTGAGAGTGGGCATGTAACCCAGCAATTGAGGGGGCCGTGTCCCACGTGAGGGCAACTAGATTTGAGTTTGAGCTCCACCTGCGGTTTCGGCGCCTGCTGACGTGTGCTCTGGGAGGCTGGAGGCTGTGGCTCCAGTTGTTGGGTCCCTGCACAAGGTGGGAACCGTGGATCTCTGAACTCCATGCTTTGACATCACTCCACATGTTGTAGGCATTTGGAGACTGAACCTGCAGATGGAAGCTCTTCTCACGTCTCTTTTTCAAACAAAAATAAAATAAACCTTTAAACAACAACAACATCAAATAATACCCTTTCTTGTTGTGGCTCTGCGGGTTAAACCGCCTGCTCTAATGCCATCGTTCCATATTGGCATGCAGGTTGGAGTCCGGGCTGCACAACTTTGCATCAGGTTTCCTGCTGATGTACCTGGAGAGCAAGTGGAAGATGGCCCAAGTGCTTGGCCTCCCACCACTCCGTTTGGGAGAATTGGATGGAGTTTCAGGCCCAGACCTAACTGTTGTACCTTTGGCGAGTGAACTAATAGATAGAATATTTATTTTTCTCTGTGTCTGCCTGCCTGCCTCTCCCTCTCTCTCTGAATCTATGAGATTGGCACGGTGGCTCTATAGGCTAATGCCCTGCCTTGAAATGCTCCTATCCCATACAGGTGCCAGTGGTAGTCCTGGTTGCTCCACTTGTGATCCAATTCCCTGCTTTATAGCCTAGGAAAGCAGCGGACAATGGCTCGAGTCCTTGGGCACTTGCACTCACATGGGAGACCCAGAAGAAGCTCCTGGCTCCTGGCTCCAGATGGCTTAACTGTGGCCATTGTGTCCACCTGGGGATATACCAGCAGATGGAAGATCCTCTCTTTGTCTCTCCTTTTCTCTATAACTACCTTTCATTTTTTTCTGTCTTTTAAAAAATTTATTTTTATTGGAAAGGCAGATTTACAGAGAGAAGGAGAGACAGAAAGTCTTCTGTCTGCCTGTTTATTCTCCAAGTGACTGAAACGGCTAGAGCTGAGCCAATCCGAAGCCAGGAGCTTCTTCTTGGTCTTCCATGCAGGCACAGGATCCCAAGACCCTGGCCCATCTTTGACTGTTTTCCCAGGCCACAGGCAGCGAGCTGGATGGGAACTGGTGCCCACCATGCAAGGCAAGGATACAGTCATCAGAGTATAGTACCAGGCCCTAAATCTACCTTTCAAATAATCTAATTAAAAAATCTATAAGAGAATCTTTAGGAAAAGTAAATGGGTGCTTTAGGACATCTGCTCAGGTGTGCTGCAGGCTCCGTCCAGTCTTCCCTGCCTCGCCGCCCTCCTTGCTTCTGTGGCTTGCCTGAACCTCTGCAGGCCTTTGCCACACTTGTCCTGCTTGCAGGGGCGGACAGCAGAAGGAGCATTGGCTGCTCCTCCTCCCCTGACTAACGTCAGTGATCCTTTAGTGCCTGCCGGCCTCTGAGCTGCGCTGTCCTCCCTCCTTATCTTTTTAAAATGCCTCTGACCTTTTTATCAAGTGTGAGACTATTACTGTTGCTTGTCATTGTATGTTCCTTTGTGCATGTTTGTTTTCTTGCCATGTGTACATATTAAAATATAGTAGATATTAAGTATGACCTTGGAAGATATTATGCAAGAACAAAATAGATATGGAGACATGACTTTAAAAACAAAGTAGATATTAAGTAATGACCTTGGAAGGTATTTTATTATTTAAGAAAAGCAAATAATAGGGTAATTGTGTTGGTTCATTTTCTGTTGCTAATAATACCACATTAATTTTTTTCTTTTAAGATTTATTTATTTTAAAAAAAGATTTATTTGGAAGGCAGAGTTTACAGAGTAGAGGTGGGAGAGGAGAGAGTCACGTGAGGTACCTTCCACCTACTGCTTTACTCACTAAATGGTTGCGCAGGTGGCCACAAAATCTGGAGTTGAGCTGATCCAGAGCCAAGAGCCCCAAGTTTTTCTGGGTCTCTCACATGCATAGCAGGGGTTCAGGCATTTGGACCACCTTCTGCTGCTTTCCCAGATACATTAGCAGGGAGCTGGATTAGAAGTGGAACAACTAGAACTTGAACTGGCACCCCTTGGAATGCCATTGTCACAGGTGCCATCTTGTTAGGCCGCAATGTCAGCCTCCCACAGTGAGTTTTGAAGTAAGAGACAGGTGTGTAAGTCTATTATGGAACTTTGTCATGGACTAATTTAATTAATTAATTAAAATAAAACTCACCTTTAGTTAAAAAAAAAAAATAGGTGTGTGTACTTCCTGGTCGCTCCCGCTTGTTATTAAACCTGCTGGTATTGGATCAGAGGACCACACCCTGAGCACGTCATCTAATCCCAATCAGCTCCCCAAGGCACCGTCTCTGCACACCCTGGTTTCCACCCTTCTAGCACCTCACAGTGGAGATTATATGTATTATATATAGCCCAGTTTTCTTGTTGAAATGTCCTCTTAGCGTAGGGATTTTAGAAAAAACTTTTAAAGGTTTATTTATTTGTTTGTAAAAGCTATACAAAGTGAGGGGAAAGAGAGATCTGTCATCCACTAATGCCACAATGGCTAGAGCTGGGCCAGGCTGAAGCCAGGGGTTAGGAACTGGTTACTGCCTTCTAGGTGAGTGGCAAGGGTTCAGGTACTTAGGCTTGGACCTAAGTACTTTCATTGCTTTCCCCAGGACTTGAATACGGAGCTGAATGGGAAGTGCAGCACCTGAGACTCAAAACTAGTACCCATATAGGATGTTGTCATTGCAGGCAATGGTTTTACCTGCTATTCCGTAACACTGGCCCCAACTTCACAAAGGCCTGGTAGCTAAATCCACACCTAACATATGCTAGGATCAGTTATGGGCACCAGTTTGTGTCCTCGCTGCTCACCTTTCCATTTAGCTCCTTGCTTGTGGTCTGGGAAAGCAGGCGAGGACAGCTGAAGTCCTTGGGACCCTGCAGCCACATGGGAGACCCAGAAGAAGCTCCTGGCTCCTGGCTTCAGATTGGTTCAGCTCTGACCATTGAGGCCACTTGGGGAGTGAACCAGAGGACAGATCTGTCTCTCCTCTCTGTAAAATCTGCCTTTCCAAGAAAAGAAAATTTATTTAATTAAAATAAATAAAAACAAAGAGAAGGAAAGACAGATCATCCATTCATTGATTCACTCCCCTAAATGGCCTTCAGTCCACTGGTTTCTTTTTCTTTTCTCTTCTCTTCTCTTTTCTTTTCTTCCTGAGTGAGAAAAAGAGAGATTTTTTGATCCTCTGGTTCACTCCCCAAATAGCTGCAGCGGCAAGGTTTGGGCCAAGATGAAGCCAAGGTTTAGAAACTCCTTGTGAGTCTCCCATGGGTGGCAAGGATTCAAGTACTGGAGCCATGTTCTGTTGCCTTCCTAAGCACATTAGGAGGAAGCTGGTTCAGAAATGGAATCCCTGGGCCTTGAACCAGTGCTGCAGAGTGGGAGCTGGCATCACAAGCAGTGGCTCAGCCTGCTGTGCCATGTCAGCTCCAACAAGCTTTCTATATAAAACACCAAGGACTTTCAGGATGTAAGATCAATCAGTGTTTCTCTCATTCTTTCTTTGTCTCTCTACCCCTCTTCATTCCCTCCCTCCCTCCTTACCTCTCTCTTTCCCTCCTTCTCTCCCTCCCTCCCTCCCTCCTTCTCTCTGTTTTCCCCTCTCTCTCTCTCTTCCTTCTCTTCCTCCTTTCTCCTTCCTCCCCCCCCCATGGCTCTGATTTTCAAATAAACATTTTTAAATAATAGGAATAATAATAATAAGTAAAGGAGCAAGTAGTAGGTTTTTGGAAGCTTTGTGTGTCACATGGTCTCTGTCACAATGGCTCAGCTCTGTGGTAGCACAAAAGCAGCACAGACAGGACGTAAATCATAGTGTCTCTGTTTGGATAAACTCTGAGAATGGCACGTCTCAGCATGCCAACTCCTGGGTCAGAGTATCTGAGGAATTAAGCCTTTAGCAGCTGGGCTGTAAGGAAACCTGTGTCCTGTCCACGTAGCAGGTGGAAGCAGGCCACACCGCACTGCTGCCGCTCTTGAGTGTGCCCATGGCCATGAGTGTCATGTCTGTTTCTCTCTATCCGGCGCAGGACCAGGACCTCAGCACAGTGTCACCAGCAATCATCTTTAAATCAATGTTCCATAGCGCCGACGATGCAGCAGTTCAAGAGGATGCTCAGCAGACAGGTTTGTTAACCATGTCAGCACTGGGAAGGAAACACACATGCATGGATACATGGAGTGACAGGGACAGTGAGATACTTCCAGCCGGCTTTCTGTGACAGGTCAAGGGCCTGGGCCTTGCTGTTCAACTCAGCTCCCGAGGGGTCTCCTTTTCCCCTAGTCCCTTGTTGGCTTTAAGAACTGGAAGAAGCTGTGAGCCTTGTCTCCTGACGTGATGTGTGGACCCGGGAACTCAGCCTCACTTGCATTGGTGTGACAGTCCATCATAATGCTTCACAGCAGAGGCATGCTCCCTCATTGTGCCAGATAAATGGATGTGTAGTCTGTTTTTGGAAAAGCCTTGGGACGCTTTTTTTTAATTAGAATTAGACTAGGCCTTCATATTTAGAGTGAGCTTTCTTGTAGAACCCAGTACTTTGACCAGAGGTGTGTCAGAATGTGCAGAGCAGAAAGCCAGCCTGCTAGCAGTGAAGGAACTGGCTATCAGGGACCTGCGCTGTCTTTTGTTGATCCCATGATGAATGTGTTTTTGTGGCTCCTGTGAGGCTTGGGATATGTATATACATTTCTATTTCTTTTTCTTGCCAGCTGCCTTGATTGAAAGTTTTAATGGTGATGCAGAGTCAGTCAGTGATGTTCCGCCACCCACAGGAAATTCAGCATCTTTATCTCTTCCACTTCTACTGCAGCCTGTCATCTCCGAGCCACCCCAGCCTCTGCTACCAGCCTCAGCTCCGTCTGCTCCTCCGCCTGCTCCCTCCCTGGGAACTGGTTCCCAGCCAGCTGCATTTGGCAACCCCCCTGCTCTCTTACAACCTCCAGAAGTGCCTGTTCCCCACAGCACGCAGTTTGCTGCTAATCATCAAGAGTTTCTTCCGCACCCCCAGGCAGCACAGCCCATCATCCCGGGACTCTCTGTTGTAGCTGGGGCTTCTGCGTCCACTGTGGCAGCACCAGCCCCATCACAAAGTACTACTGAGCCCCTGCCGGCCATGGTCCAGACTCTGCCCCTGGGTGCCAGCTCTGTCCTAACTAGCAGTCCCACCATAACCATCACCCCGACTCCCAGCGCGACTCTCCTGCAGCCCAACCTGGTCGTGGGAGAACAGAACCTACAGTGGATATTAAACGGTGCGACCAATTCTCCACAAAACCAAGAGCAAATTGTAAGTACTAGGAATAAATAAGCCAGTGGCGGTGGGTGGTGGTGTATTGACATAGGTCACATGCTCAGACATTCCGTGTGCAGGGATGCAGTCACTGGCTACCAAGGCCAAGGACTATTTCCGGAGAACCGGTTGTCTGTAGGGCAGTTAGACCATGACCTGGTCAATGGGCCCAAGGTCCAGTGGAATTGTCTGTGCTCCAGAGCCGGGGTCTAAGAAGGTGTTGGTTGGGATGGCTCTGGAAACACCCCGGCTGTTTGTTTGGATGTGTTTGAGCACCTGGTTCAGCTAGATGCCGCACTGAGCCCTCAGAAGCGTACAGTGACCAGCAGGACTTCTTTTTCGTAAAAATGGATGTTGTAGTCAGAGATCCTAAAATGCCTTGAAAGAAGCTTAGTATTACCAGTTGGTAAGGTGCCAGCTGATGCTAATAGTGATAATTTAGCAGTTGTTTTTCGCTGAGTCCTTAGAGAGTAAGGGCTACTTTGCTAGTAACCGTATAGGCAGTTAAGGTTCTAGCAGCATGTGCATCATGACTTCATGTGCACCATTTTTAGATTATGTTTTAGGTTTTATTCAATAGATAGAATTCCCGTGTGTTCTCACTGTCCAATTGGGCACATGAGTTATGCAGTGTGTAGTAGTATGTGTATCAGGTACACTATGGAATTATGTATGATACAGTTATTACCTCTAATGAAACAGCACTGATGTGTTATCATTAGCTGAAGTCCATAGCGTGCATTCCGATGATTCTTGGGCCGGGCTACCTGCATGACCGTTTCTGGAATAGTTGATCACCTTAGAAATTCCCTCTGTTCCACTCACTCATCTTTTTTCCTCCCTGCTCTACTTCTTTTTTTTTTCTGTATGTCACACACATTGTGTTAAGTAAGCTCTTTCCTAATGCATTACAACAATCCCAGGTAGTAGGTATGATTTTTACCAATGAGGAGCTTGTGTCCAGGGAGATTAAGGGAGTAGCCCAAGATCACACAGTTCTGACATGGCACAGTTGGAGTCTGAGCATCGCAGACTGGTCTCGGTACCTGTACTCTGGGCTGCTCCATGTGCTGCTCGGGAAGGGTTTCCCACGCCAAGAACTTACCGGGTGGCCACCTGGGTCAGGTGAAGTGTAGAAAAGGGTGTAGTGGGTGCTGGAGATGTGACACATGCATGCTGCGTGGACACAAACCTGAATGGGAGATTGGGGCTGAAGACCAAGAGCACTGGAATCCCAGAGCCGGGCTGGCCACTGCCTTGTGAGGAAGCCCGTCTCTCTGGCCGGCTTCCCAGAGGCCTTGGAAAGGCCTAGGCAGTGTTGGGATAAAGGTGGCCTCCAGGTAGTGTTTCCTGCCACATGAAACAGGCATCACGTTTTTCCCACCATAATCTGTTGTCACATGTCTTCCTTCTTCCCAGTTACTCTAACTCCTGTGCCCATGCCAGAAGCCTGAGTTTTTCTTCCCAGAGGCATTTCAGACACTTTGGTTTTTTCCTTAGAGGGGGTAAAAGACTTTAAGAAAAACCCTTTAAGATAAGACTTGAAGCAGAAACCCTTTAGACAGTAAACAGAGAGGTTTACTAGGGTGGTGGGGGTGCTTTTCCGGTCAGGTCACTGACTGTTCACCCCATGCCATACATTCTCTGGGCGTCATCTCATCTCCTAGACTCCTTTTAGAGGGCCTTTGGCGATCATCTTGCTTGCTCTCTATTTAAATTTACTTTTATTTATATGAAAGGCAGAGTTACAGAAAGGGAGAGGCAGAAAGGGAGAGGCCTTCTACCCACTAGTTCACATCCCAACTGACCACGGTGGTCAGGGCTGGGCAAGGGCAAAGATAGAAGCTAGGAGCTTCTTTGGGGTCTCCCACATAGCTGCAGGGTTCTAAGCACATGAGCTACCCTCTACTGCTTTCCTAGGAGCTTTAACAAGGAGCGGGATCAAAGTGGAGCAGCCAGGACTCAAAACTGGTATTGTTATGGAATGACAGTGTCATAGGCAGCCACTTAACCAGCTATACCACAGCACAGGGCCCAATCGGGTCCATTTTTACAAACGAGGAAACTAAGTGTCTAAGAAGTTCAGTCATGGTCTGACCCCAGTGCTTGGGCTTGCAGCCAGGTGTGGCAGAGCCCAGGATTTGTTCTTGAACTGTCTTGTGCAGTTCTCGGCACTGCCCATGGTCTTCACAGGGCTATTTGTGAGAGGAAACCTTGGCCTGAAGCCTAGAGGGCAGGCTAGCCCTGGGGCTGCCCCGACAAGGCCATCAGCCTCAAGCAGCGACTTGAAGGAAGCTTTGGATGCAGGCGCAGGCGAGTCATTGGACCAGGCAGCTGGGAGGCAGCCAAGGAGTGGAGTACAAAGCTGGCTACACGGTCAGCACAGAATGTCACCCAGTGCAGTGACCTCAGACCAGAGCACAGACAAAACATCCCTCAGTACAAAAACCTGTGGACACAGAGGACTCTCTATGCCTGTGGTTGACCACTGGAGCTGGGGGAGTGTGAGCCCCTTGGATGTCCGCCGTCTAGGAGTGGCCGTAACCATGCGATTGCTTTCCCCCCCAGCAGCAAGCACCTAAGGTTGAGAAGGTGTTCTTCACTACTGCAGTGCCCGTAGCCAGTAGCGCAGGTAAGTCATTGTGTGTCGGTGGTAAGGGCACCTCAGCTCTGAGCCTGTCGAGGCACAGGAAATTGTTGCTTTCCCAGTTTCTGAATCTTTAAAAATCTTGAAGTGACCTTGGCTTTTTAATTGTTACGAGGGTATTTCATATTCTTATAACTTAAAAAAAATTAGTGTACTTAAAAAAGAAAAAATAATAGTGTATTTCAGGCATAAATACTGTATTTGACATTCTTTATCTGGTAATGATGCCTTCCTTTTACATACTGCCTTTAAACATAGCCAGAAAAAAAATCTGAATCACAGTTAATACTAAAGAGAGTAGTTGTTAAATCATTGAACTCTTTCTAATTGCGATAATGAAGAAATAGCATCTGGGCCAGAGGCTCATGGAGAGCTGAAAGGTTCTGTTATTCAAGTCCCTTGTGTGGCACATCAGGAACCTCGGGCCTGGAGGGCTGAAATGCCCCCACAGGTCCTGTGTGGACTGGTGGCAGAACCAAAACACGGCCTCTCAGGCCTCCTTCCTCGGTTCTGCCCATTGGTCTGTGGCTCTCGGGTCAGACAGAGCGTGGCTGAATTCAGAGAGAGACTGCACACGTGGGAGGCTGGCAGTGTACAGAGATGGGCTGTCACGTGCTTTGTGGCCTGCACAGATGAGTGAGTGCAGTCTCTCGGGCAGGCCGGGTTAAGCCGTACCTGTGCCAGTGGAGAGAGGTGCAGAAGAAAGAGAGCAGCACGGTGTGCGTGTGTGCGCACGTGTGCCAGGAAGCACACTGCCAGCTTCACTGAGGCCAGGCCTCTCCCAGGAGCCCACAGGAAGCACCTCCTGGAGGCTTCACAAGAAATGGGGAGGAGATGCTGGGTCCAAAAGACAAGCATCACTTGTCCAGACAAAAACCATGTGCCTGGGGGTAGCAGGCTAGGTCAAAGGTTGGATCCATAGGCCCAAAGACAGAAAGACTGTGTCAGGGAAAGGCAGCGTGTGCTGTGGCTGGCAGGGAAGGTGCAGCAGAGAACGGCCAGCCCTGCAGGGTACTGCGAGCTGGTGTGTGTGGCTGAGGCTCAGAGGGAGGGGGCCGTATCAGAGACTTGTGACCTGAAAAGAAAGGTGGCCCAGTCTAAAGCAGAACGACATCAGGGCCCAGTCACCCATGGGGCACCCAGCGCTCGCCCCTCATGCCCTGCCCTGTGTCTTTCTTGCCTCTTGCAGGGAGCTCTGTCCAGCAGATCGGCCTCAGTCTCCCCGTCATCATCATTAAACAAGAGGAGGCCTGTCAGTGTCAGTGCGCATGCCGGGACTCTGCCAAGGAGCGGGCGGCTGGCCGCAGGAAGGGCTGCTCCTCCCCGCCCCCTGCAGAGGCCAACCCGCTGCCTCCCGAGGGGCCCAGCCTGTCATTGCCGCAGACTTTTTCATTACCGCTTGTCCCCCTGTTGTCCTCATCCACCGCACCCTCTTCTTGTGAGCAGAGCAGACAGACAGAGACTCCTTCGCACTCTCAGACAGAAATGGGGGCCATGGATGTGTCAGAGCTCCTGGCCGTCCAGGGCGTCAGCACCCCGTCCACTGGCATTCCCATCGAAGCACTACTGCAGAGGGAGGAGGAGATGGGCCTGGCCAGCAGCTTCTCCAAGTGAACGGCCCAGGACAGGCAGCTGGCAGGAGGCGTGAGGTGCCAAGCCGACCGTCATGGGGTCAGAATTTGAAGGATGAAGAAACCTACTGTTTGAAATGCTTGCCTTTCAGACATCTTTTTCTTTATTCACATACCAGGAGCATCCATTTTAAGGAACTGATCTTTGGAAAAAAACAAACAAACAAAAAACCAACAAAAAAAAAAAGCTAAGTTATAAATGAACTGTTTGGCTGCACTGTTTGTCACTTTTGCTTATTGTCATGTGAACTTGGAAATTAAGGTTACTCGTGCGCATAAAAATTCTAAATGAAAGGGTGTGGTTTCCATCTATCTGACACTGCCCATCACTCGCACTGGGGATCTTTGTGGACTGGGCAGAAAGTTGGACGTGTTGGGTGTGGCTCCTCCCTGTGTGTGTCTTTTGAATCTGAGGCTGAAGACTGCTGCAGAGGCCAGAGCCTCGCCCTCTCCGCGAGGGCGGTGGCAAGCGGGGACAGCTGTGGAGCAGGCCGACTGCAGGTGAGCTGGCTTTGTTGGTGGCGCTCGCGACACTAGCGCAGGGCTCCTGGGCCTGAGCCCAGGCTGCAGGATGAGCTGGCCCTGCAGGACCCTGGGCAGGTAGTTAAGTGCGGTCTGTCACAGTTGTGTGTGCAGAGCAGGCTCTGGCAACACGACCACAGTCTCCCCCCATGCCAGACACCTCTCAGTTGGCAGGGCTTGCAGGTCGCAGTGAATTTGCCATGGGGAATGTGCCTGTTGGGTCCTAGGGTGAACATGTGGCTGTAGTTCGGTGGTGGTTGGTGATCTGCCTTCTCTTAATGACATTTTCTTCCTCAGAGCACAAAGGCTGCATTTTGCTTCTCAAAAGGTGCAGATTGAAGCGAGTTTGTGTGTGGTGGCATGGAATCGGCAGGCTGTGTGTCCTGGTGCCAGGGTCTAGCCAGGCTTTCAGCCTTCCTTCCTCTGACCTCTGCCTCTCACCCTGCTGGATTCTGCCTGGTACAGTGCATACCAGGCGATGACTTGCTTGGCATAATCGTGATTTCTGAAACAAAAAGGAAAGACAAAAAAAAAAAAAGACAAAAAAAAATGAACGATGATTTTCTACTCAGGGTAAAAACATAACAAAAAAAAAATCCCCTTCCACCAAAAAGCCTGAAATGTTGCAATAAGTTCTCTCATTTGGAATGTTGCATTCAGTTGCGTTAGAGGGAAAGAAGGTTTTTCTCAGTTGTGTATAGAATTATATCCTTCTGTCTGCCTTTGGCTCTAAGTCATTGCCTCTTAAAATAAAGCATAGAATGAAATCCATACCGCAATGGAAGGTTTCTCTCGGCTGGTCTGAGTCTACACGGGGCTCAGCAGCTAGCCTGGCCCCGCGTGTGGAACAGGCGCTTGCCTCGAGCTAGGAGCAGGTCTGACAGCCCAGGCCGCTGGCTTTCCAGGTCAGCCAGGGGTGGCAGAAAGCAGTGTTCTTTTGGCTCTGTGTTTTCACTCCCCAATGTAAAGAGATCTGAGTGGGTCACTCTCCTAGTCTCTGATTAGGTGCTTGGAGCCAGCTGAGGCAGCTGTGAGCTCCCTGCCTTTAGCTTGTGTGTTAGCGGCAGGGGTGACGAGGGGGCAGTGGTAGTGAAGGCTGTTGTTACCCGTGGCCCCGGGAGGAGAGGCGTGCTCGCCACAGGCAGCCGATTTTGCATTCCAGGAGTGTAGCCAGGGGAATTGATTTCTTTCTGACCTTCTGCACACTCCTCCCTGAAAGGCTGATGGGTGTTGGCAACCTTTGACCTTGGCTGAAATTGACAAGGCAGGAAGCATCTTCAGTTATACCGGAGGTTCAGGCCTCTGGGCCTTATTGTCCCCCTAGGAGGCTTTGAGCCAAAGCCCTTACCACGTGCCCATCCTAGGATCCCCGGGACTTGGGGCTTTCTGGGAAGGGGGCATGGGAACTAGGATCCCACAGAAGGACGTTAGAAGCGTGCGTGGTTTAAATCCTTGCTGCTTGCTGTTTAGCAAAGGGTGTGCTGCTATTGGATCCTCCCCAGGCCGGTAGCTATCCTACTCTCCACAGCTCAGGACTGTTTAGGCTGACAGCCTGTGGCACGTGATTTTAGATTGTGATTACAAGGCGACTGTCAACTCCAGTCCACTTTTGAAAACTCGAGAATGTGTTTAAAACGCTAGTGAATGGTTGTGAAGAGCAGGTGTATTCCACAGGGCAATCCCTGCTCTTCCAGCCTCCTCCTTCCTCCCCAGCCACCTCCGCCCCCTGCCATAGGCCTGACTTCTAGTCCCAGGGACCGCAGAGGAGAGAGGGCTGCTCCTGGCTAAGCGGCCAGAAGGCCTTCGTGGATAGAAGCCACGTGATCCTAGCCTCTTCTTCCGTAGCAACCTTAACTGTTCTCCGCCTGTAGATTGGTACTTCAGCGTGACTGCTAGCTCCAGTCGGACCGCGCCTTTAGAGGGTGCTGGTCAGCCCCAGTGATGGACGAGAACAGACAGGCAGTCAAGAAGCTGTGGCTGGCACCACCAAGCTGCCTTAGTGAATGTGGTGGGCAGGGACACGGGGAAGGGACGGCCCTCCAGGAGCATCAACAGGTGTGGCAACACCAGTGGTGTCCTTTGTCGAATTCCAGTCACCTTTAAAAAGAGCGCAAGGTCCCAAACCAAGGTGGGCCTTAAAGATGAGAAGGCAAGGAGAGAGGCATTCGTTTGGCCAAGTTGCTTGTCAAGGTTGAGGCAGTGGACTGATGGGGTTCACGGAGGGTGGGTGGATTTTCCTGAGACTTTGTAGAATGTTGAATGTGTCCAGAGGGACAAGTTTGCAGAACCTCATATTGGTATATTAAATAATAAAATTAAAAAAGCACTTTAGGTTATTTTATCTTTAACCCAATTGCTGCAATTTCTTTTGAATGTGTGTATATATTTATACACATACATATACATGCTTTCCACAAAGTTTTATTTTTTGCTCAGAATAAAAAGCTAAATTGAGGTGTGAAAAGAAAAGCACTTACTGCAGTGCAATATGTGTAGCTTGAAGCCACCTGGCCCGGTCCGCGGCCTGACCTCGCCCCGACGGCCGGCCATGTTTTTCCGCTCCATCAGCTGGGCGCCTCAGCTGCCCACAGGGAAGCACTGTTAGGGATTCCCAGCACCTGCTCATCTATGCAAGCCTTCCCTGTGCCCCAGGCGCTCCCTCAGGCTTGCTCAAGAACTGCTCGGGGGTCCCATTTTCTGCTGACCGTACAGACCCCTTGTCATCCCTTCTTTTGGTCCCTCAGCCATCTTCCCCATTTCACCATGACCGAATGATGCCCACAGCGAAGGAGCAGGTTGTTCCCAGGGAGGAACCTGGCACCTTCGAGACTTCTCGTTTTTGTAATCATGTCCTTTGTCCTTCACAGCAGAGATGCTCCAGCGGTCACTGGAACCACCAGAGTATTATCACTCCCTTACACCACCAGTCAGAAATATGTTGGAAGCAAAGGAAGTAGGCCTGGTGCTGGGGGAGGAGGGAGCCATGCCTGTGTCACTCCGCAGGCCACCCACACCCATGTTGGCTCTTGGAGGAACAAGGCCTCCAGCCTGCATCAGATCTCTCATTATCCAATCTTTTTTTCTCCCATGCCTGTTCATCTTCACCACTCAGAACAGAGGAGTATAACACGTCAGCGCCCCCCCACACACACACAGAAAGGGTTTCACGGTGGTAAGGCGCCTGTGGCTCTGCTGTGACCTGCACTGGAAGTGAGGAGGGGAAGCAACATCAAAGTGATGCGTGTTTCTCATTGGTCCCTCAGGTTCGTCTGTCCGCCCTGTGTTCTTGGGGAAGGGGTGAGCGGGTGCTGAGGAGAACGCTTCAGCCTGCGTCTTCGTGCCCCTCTGGTGGTGTGCCTGCTGGGCCAGACATTGGATAATGTTCTGTCGCTCAGCTCAATGCAGCTTCTACTTTTCTTATGGGAAAACTTTTCGTAAAACCTTTTCTCCCCAGCGCCCAGGGGTGTTTTTGCAATATCCATGTTATCCTTGTAGTGCTGCCAAGTCCAAGGCTTCTCTCGCCCTTCCCCTCCCTCCCTCCTCAGGCCCGAGGACTGTTGCCTGTTGCATTCGATCGTTGCTTTTGGGGAAAAGTCAAGGTTGGAGTTCAAGGTGGCTGTTTCATTCTCCTGTGAACTTCCCCCCCCTTCCCCCAGGGGCAGGGGCGGGAAGCAGGTTTTGGCCAAGCTGCTGGCTCCACCCACTCCTGGGACCCCCCATCCACCGCCCCCCCCAGCTTCCTTTGTGTGACACCCACCAATCATTGGTCGATTGTCTTGGTGACAGTTTTTTAAAATCCCAAATCATTTTATTTGGATCATGTAAAAAAGTCTTTCAGATTTATTTAGGTGTGCAACATGGGAACAACAGGCTCCACTGAGCAGATGGAAAACGTTACAGGTTCAAGTACTTCCAAAGGAAGAAACCTCCAAACCCCCAAAAACAAAGAATAAATATGAATTTGTATTTTTGAAGAATGTGAAATAATGGTGTTTGCTTAAAATTGCTCATTTTGTATAAACTTAATATTGTACTTTAAAATATCTGCTAAGAAGTGAAAATTTAACTTTTTGGAATTGAAAAAGCAATATTAAATACTAATGAAACCCTAATTAAATGCTTATTTAAATATGGCAGTATGTGTGGTGTTTCTTCTCATCTCTGCCCCTGGCTGGCACTCACCCATCCTTCCAGTCCTGCCAAACTCCACCTGCCCCCCAACCGGTCTCCCTGGTCACCAGGGTCCCAGAGAAGGGTCCGAAAGGAAAGCTCGCTCACCAGGGGGCTCTGCAGGTTTCCTTTTTAATGCAGGCTCTGCTGAAGGTGTTTCACGAGGCTAGGAGTCCCCACAGGATGAAATGGACACACAACACCACCAGGTTCCCCCACAGCAGGCCGGCCCACGCCGGCGGGCACTGCTGCTCTGCCCACGTCAGGGCCTCGGACTGGGCGTTCCTGCTCCGTCCACACGCAGCACTGCTGCCAACCAGGATGATGGGGTAAACTCAGCTACAGCAGAGCTGCCACCCCACACTGAGGGCCAGGGACCAGCCTTTGCCAGTGCAGACCAGCCCCTCTACCGGAGGGAGTCAAGAGGTCCTGCCGGCAGCCCCGCGAAGGGAGGGTAGTCGGGGTGCCCGGCTTGGGGATGGTCAGGGCTCCGCGGCTCCATCACCAGCATCCTTCGGAAGGCCACCTTTGGCGGACAGAGCTGGCTGGGAGGGCGCTCCGGGTTTGGCTGACGCGTTCTGGTTGGAACAGAAAAGGGAAGAAAAAAAAAAAAAAGTGAGCCTGGCAGGAAAGGCCTGGCGTCAGGCCCCACTAGGATATGGCCACTTGGAGATTGGGTTAGCACTGAACTTTTGCAGGACCTCTCGCCCAGGTCAGTGGAGGCTTAGAGTAAAGTGAGGAGCCGCTGCTCCGTCCTCCGGGCACCCTCCCACCCGCACCCCCAGGCCCAGCCCGGGGTGGGCACTGACCCCGCCAGCAGGCGGCTCCGGGCGCCGGCGGCCCAGCTGCCGCAGCATCTCCTCGCAGGCGGCGATGGTGTCCAGGAGCTGCCGCTGCCTCTGCTCCACGGCGTCCAGCAGCTGCTGGGCACGCTCATCCCGGGGCGGCTGCGGGGGTGGCCTCCCGCCGAGCCCCAGCCCCGCCTTCCCGCGCTCCACGCCGGCAGCCTCCCTGGCCAGGAGAGAGTGGACACAAGGCGGTCAGGGCCAGGGCTGGCGCGGCCGCTCCGAGTCCCTCTCCCCCTCCCCCCGCACCGCCGCCCCGACGTGCCCCCTCTCACCCCCGTGACCAGTCTGAGCCCGGGCCCCATTCCATCTCCGCCTGCGCGACCCGACCACCGCCCCCCTTTCGGCCGTCCCCCCGCCCCCCTGCCCGAGCGCTGCGCCAGGGCTCGGCCAAGCTGCGCGCCCCGCCCCGTCCCCACCGGTCTCCTTCAAGCCTCCTGGGGGTCGCGGTCCCTTTAAGCCGCCCGGCGCGAAGGTGGGGCTGCGCCTCCCCGAGCGGAAGCGAGCTGGTGGCGTCACGTCCTCCCGGAAGCGGGTCGGGGCGGATGTGTCTGGCGCGTCGGGGTTCGGGGCTGAGGGCGACGCTGGCTGCCGTCGTGGGGCTGAGCGAGGGCGCGGCGGGCTCGGCCCGTGGCGGCCGCCTCCTCCGGCCGGCGGCTCCGGAGGCCCGGCTGCTGCGGCTCCCGGGCGGCGGCGGGGCCGAGCGCGCCGGCTGGGGCGCAGCGCTGCGGGCCGCCGTGGCCGAGCTGCGCGCCGGCGCCGTGGTGGCCGTCCCCACTGACACGCTGTACGGCCTGGCCTGCTCGGCCAGCTGCTCGGCGGCGCTGGACGCCGTGTACCGCCTCAAGGGCCGCAGCGAGACCAAGCCTCTGGCCGTGTGCCTGGGCCGCGTGGCCGACGTCTACAGGTGAGGCGGCCCCGCGGGAGGGGCTTCCGGTGGCCGGCGTGGGCGCCTGGGGCGCGGGCCGCGGCGGGAGGGGCTTGTCCACGCTTCCCGGGAATCCGGAACTGGACGGACGGGGAGGGCATGCCGGGAGGACCGTCCTGGATCAGGGAGGCTCTGCAGAGAGGACCTGCATGTCAGGGGAGGTTCTGCACGGGAGGCCCACGGGGGTCGGGGGAGGACTTGCATGTCAAGAGGGCTTGCGGGGGAGGACCTGCCGGGTCAGGGAGGGCCTGCGGAGGAGGCCCGCGGGGGTCGGGGGAGCACCTGCATGTCAGGGGAGGGCCTGCGGAGGACCTGCCTGGTCAGGGAGGACCTGCACGGGAGGCCCATTGCAGTCGGGGAAGGGCTTGCCGGGGAGGCCCGCTGGAGTCGGGGGAAGGCCTGCCAGGAGGATTTGCATGGGAGGCCAGCGGGGGTCAGAGGAGGACCTGCCGGGGTTAGGGAAGGACCTGCACTCCTGGCCTTCGGGGAGTCCGGGTAGGGCCTGCTGGGGTCAGTGGAGGGCCTGTGGGGGAGGATCTGCACGAGAGGCCCGTGGGGGTCGGGGGAGGGTGGGCCAGGAGGATCTGCAGGGAAGGACCTGCACAGGAGCTCTGCAGGAGAGGATCTGCTGGGGTCAGGGGAGTGTCTGCACGGGAGGTCCGCTGGAGTCGCGAGAGGACCTGTCAGGAGGCCCTGAGGCTCTGGGGAGGGCCTGCAGGGGCCACAGGGGAAGGCCTGTGGGGGTTGGAGGAGGATCTGCACAGAAGGCCGGTGGGGATCAAGGGAGAACCTGCTGGGATCCGGGCAGGGCGTGCGGGGCATCACAGCAGGCGGGACATACAGACAGGTGCATCCTCCCATCTTCTCCCTGGTTCACAGGTACTGTCACGTGCGGGTCCCTGAGCAGCTCCTGCAAGACCTCTTGCCAGGACCGGTCACGTTGGTGATGGAACGCACTGAAGAGCTCAACAGGGACCTGAACCCCTTCACTCCCGTGAGTTGGGCTTCCTCTCTGACCTTCAGGAGGGTGGGTCAGAGCAGCCGCCTTGCTTACCCGCTCCATCCTTGCTAATGTCCCTTTTATGCTCGGCCTGGCAGCTGGTGGGCATCCGGATTCCCAACCATGCTTTCATGCAAGACCTGGCCCAGACATTCGGGGGCCCTCTTGCTCTCACCAGCGCCAATCTGAGCTCGCAGGCCAGTTCTCTGAGGGTCGAGGTAAGAGTCACCGGGGCCTGGATCCGCCACTGCCCAGGTGGGGGCTCCTGGTGGCCAGGGTAGGGGTGGGGGTCGCCCTGTAGGTACGGCAGTGGGAAGGCTGGCTGGTGGGGGAGGGGAGAGCAGAGAGGATCCAGATTAATGACTGGGAATCAGAGCGATCGGGAGGAGAGCTGGTGTTTTCCTCTGCAGCCCTGGGAAAGACTGAGCAGTAAGGGAAACCATTGTTTGCCCATTTTTGTGGGGGAAGCTACTTGTTGGAAATTGGGAGTCAATCTACCCAGAAACAGAATAATAAAAAGGTTTTATAGGGACCTCATGGAGTGGCTTCTTATCTCTGCCACAAGGCCAAAGAAAGGATGCCCCAGTCCTGTCTTGGCTTTTGGAATGAAGGAGGACACAGAAATGTCGCTCCTGTTTGCTGAACGTACGTGCAGACCCTGTTGGAGGCTCAGCGTCCCTGCAGCTCCACAGGCTCGGGAGCTTCCATGGGTGGCGGAGGCTGGGCCCAAGGAAGGGTCCCGGATGCTTACCTGGCCAGCAGTCAGCTGACCTGAAAGTCCCCCCCATGCCTGGGGGCAGGGCTGCGGGAGCTCAGCTCCTGATCCCTGGTCCCATCTGCCTTCCCACACACAAGGCCTGAGTGCTGGTGTGGGTAGCTGCAGGGTCCACCCTGCTCTCCTGCCTACCCAGACCCAGGCCAGGGTACTCCTGCACTCCAGCCCCTTGTTCTGCCCACCTGGCAAAGGTACCTTGAATGTGGGCACAGGGATAACAGCCCAGAGTCCAGGGTTATAGCCCCCATCTGTGGTTGCCAACCAGAATTTTGCTTAACAGTGATTTTACTTACACATCCCAAACAACAAAGAGTGTGTAATCACCTTGAAATCTGGCCGCGTGTTCTGGGATTCTGATTCAGGAGGGCTGTAAGCCGCTTGGGGTGATGGTGTGAAAGCTGGGACTCTGGCTAACATACCCCCCACCCCAGTCTGCACTGTGACGTCATGGCAAGTGCCAAGGACAGTGTCCATATCCTTCCTCTCTTCTCAGGAATTCCAAGACCTCTGGCCTCATTTGTCCCTGGTCATTGATGGGGGACAAATTGGAGAAGGCCAGAGTGCTGAGTGTCGCCTTGGCTCAACCGTGGTTGACTTGTCTGAGCCTGGAAAGTTTGGTATCATTCGCCCAGGCTGGTAAGTCTCTCTTCTAGGATGGCGGTGGAATTTGAACCAGGCTGGGGAGATGGAAAGTGAAGGCTGTCACTCCTGCCTTTCCTTGAGGGGTATGGCGGTTTGGAGGGATACTAGATGGGGTAGCACTCCTGCGGCAAGTGTCTGCTGGCATTTCTGGGATTCAGGATTCCTCAAAGGTTTGGTAAGCATTGTATAGTGAGCCCATTGAGTTCATAGAGTCCCTGGTCCCCAAGCTGTACAAGGCAGCCTGTGACCGTGCTGTCCTCTGCCCCCAGCGCCCTGGAGAGCACCACAGCCATCCTCCAGCAGTACGGGCTGCTCCCTGCACACGGACCATGCTTGTGAGGCTCCCGAGGGTGAACCCAGGACTGGTACTGGATACTGTGTGTCCACTGGCCATCGGTAAGGCCTCGTTCAGAGGCTGCTAGAACTGGGCCGCTGGCCTGATGTCCAGGCGGCGTGTCTTAGCACACTGCACAGGATGCTGCTGTTCTATTTATTATCTCTACTCTGCTCAGACCTGAGCAATTTCCTCCCTCCCCTAAGTGTCAGTGAGTTAATTATATACATCATACTTCTAAATCCAGTCATTGTGGCAACCTTTTACTTTATTCCTGTCTACACCAAGCATTGGACATACTGTTGTTGGGTATTTGAACTTTGTCTTTAATATTAAAAAAAATGCTATTAAGTCTATTTGTAAACTGTTTATTTTTGTTCATTTGAATGACTTCACTAGGGTATGGTTACTATGTGAAAGCTTTTATGGCTCTTGATGTTGACTGGCTTCACAAACAGTGCCCTGTCTCCCGCCTGCCCCACACAGTGGGAGCATGCAGGCACATCCCATGTGCACCGCAGGCCAGCGTCCTGCTGTCCCTGCCAGGATGACCCAGCCGAGCCCCAAGCCAGGCGGGCAGGCCTGCCCCTCTGGTCAGTGTGGTTGGGGTGGGGTGTCCTTGCAGTCTTCCCCTTCGCTCTAGCACCTAGTCCCAAGAGCTGTAGTTTAGTCTCGAGTCCTTGAGCCTAGTCCAAGGGTTTCCAGTGCACCATTTCAGGTCTGTCCCATGGGTGTTGTTGAGCTGTTCCAGGTGTCTGCTTTAATGAGGACTCCTAAATTAGCACATTGATTTGTTTATAAACACTTGTTTGTTAACTATGCTTTTTAGCAATTCTATATAAATGAATACCTTCTTAAACAATCCTAGTTTGATTGTGTCCTAAGCTATGGACTGGCCCACCTGTCCATGTGTCACAGAATCTGAATGGTTAGAAATCATGAGGTCTTGAGAACAAAAGGAATGTTTACTGGAGAAAATCATGTCATGTTTGATTCATACAAATCGCAGTAGCACTGAAAATGGCTCTGGTGAGTGGGCCGCCTTCGGGTCAGGTGGCTGCAGGAAGGGGCGCCTGCGTGTTCCCTACAGCCGAGTGGTCGTCTGGGAGAAGTTGGCTCTGGAGCGCAGAGGTATTTTCTTGGAGGAGAAAGAACTGAACCCCAGCACTGGGTAAAGCTGCAAAAACAAACCAAACCAAAAAGTCCTGTGCCCACGCACTAGCTACAAGGCCACACCATGTACGGAAAGCTGGATCCTGTAAGCTTCAGGACAGGAACCATCCCTTGGTCAAGTTTCCCCAGCACCTAGCACATAGTGAGGTGCTCAGCAGTGCCCAAAGAATGAATGTGCAGGATTCTGTCTGTCCAGGGGGTCGCATTCTGGAACCTCCTGGGAAAAGCTGTACCCTGGAAATGCCCCTTGGGAAAGTCTCAGGTTCCCTAATTAGACGAAGAGGGAAGGGAGGATACGTGCTGGCAGAAGGGGCAGGGCGTGTGCCAGCCTGGCACCCATAGGTTTCCAAGAGCCCTGTCTAATAGGCTCCCCAACACCCAGCTTCAGCCGGCCGTGGAGTTCAGAGCTGAGGGGTGACAGGCCGGGGCCCTGAGGGCAGTCACCTGCAGCCTCTGGAACACTGCCTTCTCTCCAGCTCCCCTCACTGCACAGCACCACCTGCCTGAGGAGCAGGCTCTGTTGTACAGGGGCCCAGGCTCAAGCGCCTGCCCAGAAGCACCCAGCTGTGGACGTGGAGACCCTGGAGCACCTCCAAGTTCAGCTGCGCCCCACGTGGCAACACCCTCCATGAAGGGCAGTCAGCACCTTGTGCCTGGGTCCTCACATCAGCCACTGCTCCTTCTCCTTGACAAAGTGCTCTGCCCAGCGACGGGTCAGCTCCAGGTAGAGGCCAGGTTGGTGAGGCAGGTAGTCCAAGTACAGGCGAGTGGGCGTCTTCTTGGGAATGGCCTTCTCAATCTGGGTGCCTTCGTGCCACTCATTGAAGGAGGTGATGGAGACGATCTCCGGCCGGACTGTCAGGGCTGCCTGCAGGGCCGTCTCGTAGTACTTGCCGTTGACCCTGTTGCGGGTATTGTGGTTGTTCCAGGGCCGGATGCTGGTATCTATGTAGCCAGGCCCCACACTGGGGATGAACATGAGGTTGTTTGCATCACAGAAGTTCTTCACAGCCTTCCAGTTCTGATGGGAGGAGCCAAAGGAGAAACCATTGGAGGCAAAGTAGGTGTACATGCCGTCGAATCCCGCGGCGAGGATGTCATGGGTGTGGCCCTCCTCCACCAGCAGCGCGATGAAGACTGCATCATAGCGTGTGTTGCGGATTGAGTGGGGCCCGTGTGGCGTCAGGAGGTGGGCCCAGGCTTCTGGGGACGTCAGGTAGGAATCGTAGATGTAGAAGAGTGGGAGGCTCTTGCCCATGCTGTTCTTATAGCGGTAAAATGCACCATGGGAGCCATACCTGAGGAGCAGGAGAGGTGAGTGGCAGGGGGCATCGCCCCTTTGCCACCAGGCCAGTCCCCACGACCGCAGTCCTCCCGCCTCCAGGCACCCCAAGTCCCCTCATTGCAGCCCTGTTAGGCTACGTGTCCCTTTCCAAACCTGTCAGGCCACCACCGTCTTTGATCTGGGCCGCCCTAGCAGCCACTTAACAGGTCTGGAGGCTTCCTAGTCCCTTTCTTTTCTTTCTTTCCTTTCTTTTTTACATAGGGAACACTTCATGAATTTGCGAGTCATCTTTGCGCAGGGGCTGTGCTAATCTCTGTCTCATTCCAATTTTAGTCTGTGCTGCTGAAGCGAGCATAGTCCCTCTCTTTCAATTGCATGTGAGAGGCGTAGGGAGCCCTCATCCCCTGGTTCACTCCTCACATGCCTACAACCACCAGGGCAGGGTTGGGCCAGACACGAGCTGGACATTCAGTCCAGGTCTCCCATGTGGGTAGCAGGAAGCCACTTCATGAGCCGTCATCCTGCCTTCCAGGATCTGCGTTAGCAGGCAGCTGGCATCCAGAGCTGGGACTGAGAACGAAATCGGGGTGTCTGAGGTAGGGTGCAGGTGTCCTAACTCCAAACACTCCCACTCTCTTAAAAACATGAAGATGTGGTTGCTCCTCACCTGTACAGGTCCCATGCACTTCACCTGGCTCCAGCTACCTCCATTCCTGCTGTTACCTGCCTCCGCTCCCCATCTGGCCCTGCTGGTCATGCCAGTCTTGTTCCATGTGGACTTGGCGTCTGCCAGGCATCGTCTCCCTACCCCCAGATCTGCACAGAGCAGACTTCACTAAGGAGTAAGCCCACACGAGACTCCACTAGCCATTTCCCATCCTAAAGTAGTTGGAGCATACTGCAACCCAAGACCCTACTTTGTTTTCTCCCATAATGTAGATCACTGTTTCTCCTATTTTACCATCAACTCCACTGCATCCCCAAAACACCCTAGAATGTAAATGAAATCAGAAACTAGTTCTACGCATGACTGTGTAGTCTTATTAGCACAGTGGACACACATATGGACACTTGGTAGGCGTTTAATGAATGATGTATGAAAGCGCTGTACCTATTACTTTCACATACATTAATTCACAAAATTCTCAAGAACTCTTACGGGGCATGCCACTTGGCAGAGTAGAGGCTGCAGAGCAGGAGCTGACCTTACGTGACGCAAGCCCAGTACTCCTGTACTCCTGGACTGTTAAGTGGCTGCTGAGATCAGAGGTACATGGGTGGTCTGTCTCTTGACCTGTCCCTCCAGACCTTCCATCCATAGCCTATTTGGGCCCCAGCCAAATCCCAGCCCCCACAGCAGCCTTACGTGTCAATGATGTACTTGATGTTGTCATGCACAGTGATGTCATCCCGGCCTTTGTAGGGTTGGATATGGAAGGCCACCTGCCACAAAGAGAGAGGTCAGCGGTGTCTCTCGTGGGGCCCCAGGCTCCTGCTGCAAGCTTGGCCTGGAGGAGCCGCTGAGTTCTGGAGGAGGACTGGCCATTTTGGGCAGCCATTGCCCCTCAGGTGCAAAACAAAGGGGGGCTGAGAGGTTGGGTCGTGTCCCCCCGCAGGGCATTTGGGGAGGATGCCGCAGGACTGCTGACAGTTTTCAACCATTGGGTCAGCACCAAGTGACTGGCACTGGCTGCCCAACTGCACTCAGGCCGGGTCAGTGGGAAATGTGTTAGAAGTGTCACTGATGGAGTCAGGCCTGGGGAGTGTGACTTCTCCGTCATCTACACAGAACATGAGTGACCTGAATGGTACGGGGGTGGGGGAGGTGGACCGTAAGGGCGTGCTCAGCTCTGCCCTCCCCTGGAACATGAGCCTGCCTGCTCATGGCCAGAGCTGCCTCCACCGCGCGCTCCTCAAGGACTGCAGCATGTCTGCATACCTCCCCCTGTGGAGCCAAGCCAAGTTCAGGTGGCCCTTGACCCAGGAGCAGAATCTGCACTCTAACCTTGCTGTTCAGTACAAGTGGCACTTAGTCTCTACATTTGTCCACTATTGAGTTCTCTCGCAACTGAAGAGAGTAAGTGGCATGGGCACTAAGACCACTCTGGCTACATACTCTGATTGGCCATCCTTGGGTACCTGCCAGGAACTTCCCAGAGTCTTTTAGCAGAGGCGGAGAAATCTCCAGTTGACCTCGTCCTGCAGACTCACCTGGATGTTGTACTGATGGGCGGTGTCGAGAATGGCAGGCACCAGGTCATCCGAGGGCTCCCCATTATCATCAGCCATGCCAGGTGGGTACCAGGACAGGACCAGTACGCCTGAGAAACAACACAGAGGCCCCTTCAGAGATACAGATCCCTCCCTCCAGAGATGTCTTTCCTCATAAACCGTGGCCTGCTGCACACCGGTTTCAGAAGGCCTTTTAGCGAGGCTCCTTCCTGACGGACCCCCTGTTTGCAGACAGGATCCTGGAGCTGTCCACGCCGGCGGTGCTGAAGCACTGCAGCCGCGGGGGGACCCGGCCGAGACAAGCAGCAGGGGCGTCCTGGGAGCCTCGCGCCACCTCTGAAGAACAGGATGGACACCCCCGAGGCCTAGGCAGAGGTCAGGTCATCCAGAGTGGCTCCGTGCACTCCTCAAGCACTGGCGTAGTCAGGTGCATCTTTGCACACTTCCTGCCCTGTCTTCCCCTTCCTCACAAACCTCTCCAGGTATCTGAAGACAGACAGGAAGATCCACAGGAACTCCGTGAACTGCCCGCGCACTCCACTCTCCACCGGGCCCTTGCCCCGCCACCGCAGCGTCCATTATACAACTTTGAGGCTAACTTCCTTTGTACACTCAGCAAACGCGGGGGGGAGGGTGTCTGAGCCTGTGGTGCAAGCCCCCCCCCCCCCAGGCCCTGTCCCTCTGCCCGCTCCCCGCCGTGGTCCACATACTGGAAGCCTGCTCCCTCCTCACCCGCACACCGGAGGCCGCAGAATTGAGTGTGTGAGGAGGCCAGAAAGCAGGAGTTGGGGGGAACGCTGCCTCCCGGTGGGCCCAGGATAGGAGCGGGAAGGATGGGTTGACAAAGCCAGCGGGCGGGCGGGGGCGCTCACCGATGGCAGCCTCCTGGAGCTGGGTCATATGTTCCCGCAGCACGTCGGGGTCCCGCGAGCTGTAGGGCCCCAGCTCCGGGTAGAAGCTGGAGCCCAGGTCATCCGGGGGGCTGTGGCGGCCGCGCGGGTAGCTGGCCGAGATCTTGGGGTCCCAGTGCGGCACCATGACGTGGTCCCAATGGATGTAGCGGCCCTCGCGCCGCGGGCTCCCGTACCACGAGTAGTAGAAGGCGTGCAGGTCCGAGTACACGCGCAGACTCCGCCCGGGGGCGGGCTCGGCCTCCGCAGGCGCCGGCCCCGGGGGGCTGCCCGGCTCCGCGGTGCGGGGCGGCGGCGGTGGAGGCGGCGGCGCGGCCGGTGCGGCAGGGGCCCGGGCAGCGGGCGCCGGGGCCCCCTCCGGCCTTCGCTCAAAGGGCACCAGCTCCAGGCCCGGGCCGAGCACCGGGAGTCCATCCGGAGCCTTGAGCGTGCGCAGGCCCATGAGAGTGCCGAAGGCGAAAAGCAGCACCAGGAACAGCGCGATGCAGGCGCGGCGCCGCCGCCGGGCCATGGCCGCGCCGCGCTCCCCGGGACGGGCGCCGCTACCTCCCCGCCAGCCGCGCCATGGCCGCCCGCCCGGCTCGGCGCGCCGCGTCGCCCGCGCGCGTACCAGGGAGACGGCGACGCCGAGCGTGGCGTGGGCGGCTCCCGGGCTCTCCCCCGCAGTGCGGGCGGGCCCCGCACACACAGAATGCAGGCGGCGCAGACCAAGTGGTCGCGAGCCGAAGGGGGAGACGGGCCGCGCAGCCCCAAGGGAGGGCTGAGGCCTAAGTCGTGTTGCCTCGGCCACCCGGGAGCCGTGGGGATGCGGAGGGGCTCGGGTCTTCCAGAGCCGGCCAAGGAGCGCGGTGTGCGGGGTGACCGCCTAGCCTCCTCTCCTCAGCTGCCGCCTCTGCTGAGCGCTCCTGCTGGCCTCCGCACCCCACACCCGCCGGGCAGCCTCTGCAGCCCAGGGCCGGGACGAGGGAGTGGGGCAGGCTTGGGCCAGGGTCCCTGTGCTCAGGCCTCACCCTCAAGCTCCGGTGTGATTCCTACAGCTAAATGTGTCCCTCCACACGGATCAAGTTCTTCATCTGAGTTGCTTCATTATTTCACTCCTTCGAAAATAGTTTTACCTCTGCCTCCTTTGTGGGGTCCACGAGGAGCCCTGCTTGGTCTCGGGCATTCTTCCAACTGCGGGGTCTTGAAGGGCGTGGTGCCCCGCTAGGTATGCAGTTCTTATTTCCCAAGTGCAGGGGAGCTATGAGGAGGGGCCTTGAGGTCGGGCAGGGTCGGTAAGTCTGCAGCCCAGGACGGTCCGTGGGAGAGAGTTCACAGCAGTGAGTGAGTGGAGGCCAATGCTGACGGCCAAGGTCACTGACACTGGGGGCACCTGACTCCAACCGAGGTGCAGAGCAAGAGGAGAAACGGGATTAGAACTTACAGCTGCAACAAACTTATGTTTTTAAAAGATTGATTTATTTTTATTGTAAAGTCAGAGAGACAGCGAGGAAAATCTTTCATCCTCTGATTCACTCCCCAAATGGCCACGATGACCAGAGCTGAGCCCATCTGAAGGCAGGAGCCTCTTCTGTGTCTCCCACGTGGGTGCAGGGTCCCAAGGTCATGCTCGACTGCTTTCCCAGGCCACAAGCAGGGAACTGGATGGGAAGCGGGGCTGTCGGGCTCAGAACTGGCGCCTATATGGGATCCCAGCGCGGTCAAGGTGAGGACTTAGCCACTAGGCCACTGCGTTGAGCCCCGGAACAAATTTATTATAGAGAAGTCCATCGGTAGAGGTGAGCAGCTGCTGGTGTGGTTATGGAGCAAGCCGGTGGCAGAGTCCTGATCTTCCAGCAGCTTAGGATCTCACACACAGTTTGGGTTGGGAGGGAACTTAACAGTCTGCAGGTACAGGGCAGTGGATGGAGCTGAGGTAGCTGGGGGTCAGGTGGTTGGAAAGGAATGCAGGGGGCTGGGTTTTAAGTTAGGGAAAGGCACATCTCAGGTACTCCCAGGCAGGGAGTTACAGTGGCCGAGGAGTGAAAGTCCCTGAGGAGTCCCCGAGGAGTTGACCGTCCCTGCGTAGCTTCCTGAGGTAGGAAGGTCCCTGGTGGGCGGCACGGCCCATAGCACCAGTGTCCTTAACAATGTCCAGAAAGCTGGCAAGGCGCACTTGTCCAGGGCAAGGATGTGCTGATCGGTTGTTGCGGTCATTCCAGATGTTGGAGGTGAAAGGGCGGAGGTCACCGATGTTTGCCTTCCTGGTAGGGAAGCATCCTGAGACATGCCTGAATCCTGCTCCTCTAAGCCTTCCCAACTCCATTCTGAAGAGCTGTGTTATGTAGATTAAGTTATCGTTCACAGGGCTGCGGTTTCCCAGTCCAGCAGAGGTCCTGTCTCCCTGCTCCTCCCTCCCACATGGGCTTTGTCCTGAGGCTCACCTTTTCCTCTCAGCTGGACCACCCTCTGACTTGTCTTTCCCAAAATCCTAAATAAGCATCTCTTTGGACTGCATTGCCTCTTCATCTCAAATTACTCCCCAGGGGAAGGAGGTGGCCATGACCCCGTGAGATTCGATTTTTGGATAAATGTCGGGGGGAAGAGCATGAAGTGTGTCGAGGAGTGAGATGACTCAGAATGAACACCAACTTCCCATAGTAGCCTGGAGCTGGAAACAAAACCATGGCGCTGTCGTGGCAGGAAGAGACCCAGCTGCTTCCCTGTTTCTTCCCAGGGCGCAGAAACTTGAACTGGAAGAAGAATGGCCTTGGATTCTGTGATTTTGGACAGAATGTCCTGAAGTCTTCCCTGCTGGCTCTGTCTGTCTCCGCTAGGAGAGGGCCTGGAAAGGGGGCAGGTGGGGGGGAAGCAAAATTGCAACAGTGCAAAGATCCAAACTGGCTTCATGTTTTATTCTAGAATCAGGCAACACTTCCATTTCCTGAAGTGATAGGGTTAATTGTATTCCTGGAACTCTGGACTCTTCCAAGAAACGCCTGCATCTTGTCATGGGAAAGCCCCTACGTTCTGAAACACCAGGAAGCAAACAGGAGATAGGAATGATCTTGGAGTTTTTAGAATTCCCGGGAAGGACAGTTACCTTTGAAGCATGCTGTTTACCGTCTACAACAAAGTGATAGGATTGGAATCCTGAGATTTTACATCGTAAATCTTTATTAATCAGATCAGAATCCTAAATTTTTACCTGCTTTCTGCTCTATGTCACAAACCATTATGTATTTACCCTATATCATATAGTTATTGATTTTCTCACAGATAATTGCTATAAGAACCCCCATTTACTTTGGTAAAATGCACTTCTTGTTTATGGCAAGAGGTGGCCGCCCAACTGGACGTTAAGATCATTTCGCTTGCCTTGGAGTCTCGCAAGATTTCTTTGAACGCCATTACTGATGGGTTGAGAATAAGGTTGATTTTATAGACAAAGAAAGCTGAAGAAAGCAGACACAAAAGAGCCAAAGGCAGATTGGTCATTTCAGAGTTGCTTTCCTTGTAAGGCAAAGGCAGGCAGACAGAACAATAGGAACAGAGCTGATTGACTTTGTTGAAACTAGCTCCTGGTTCCTGACAAGGTCAGGTCAGCAACTTGCTGGATGATGTGACACTTTAGCCTCAGTGACTCCATTTTGGTTTCCAGCCTTGTCTGTGGGAGCCCAGTGCAGGAGCTGGGTCCAAGATAATGGCCTCCTGAGATTTTTTTAGCAAAGCAAGAAGAGAAAGAATGAAGAAAAAGCAAAAGAATTAGAGGTTGGTGGTGATGTTTTGGGGGTACCTAGTAAGTAAGCTTTCCCAGCTCTGTTATTTTGTTGTCACTGGGAATGCTCTGAAACACAGCAGAGGCCCCCGATGACCAGCAGTCCTGGGCACTGCCACCCGGCTGTAACAGTTTATCCAGAATTCTAATCCAAGATGACTAATCCACAAGAGGGCCTTGTCCCCATTGTCTCAGTCAGGCACACTGGTCCAAGTTCATCAATGAGAGGTCCATGTCTGGCTGTTTTTCTTTCTGATGCAGGGCACAGATTTAAGCCTTTAAAGCTTAGAGAAGAGACAAGGTGTGGCCTTGTTGTAGTCCCTCATTGCAGTGGGAAACCCTGGCACTTCCTTCCAGAATAGTACACGTGGTCCCTGTTCGGTGGGACAGAGCAGAAGTGACTGCACTACCCTGCCAAAGTCAAAGCTGACACTCCCGCCCAGGAATGTTTGCAATGCTGGATCACCCTGGTCTTGTCTCTGTGCAAAAGTTCAATGCCCGCATGATGAGTACCCTGTGCCACAGGCATGCGCCAACCAAGGAGCTGCTGCCTTCCTGCATTCCCTGTGCCTGAGATTCTAAAGCCCAGTGCTGTGTACCTTGGGTGGCCAGCTCCCTCGCGTGGTCACTCCTCCGTGTAGACATGGTCCTGGGCGGCCTCCCAACAGGCAACAGTCCAACAGACTCTCTTCCCTGGCTGATAAAACCCTTTGCCTGAAATAAAAGTCACCCCCAACCCCTAACCGTCCTAACAACGTGAGATCGTGGAGATGACCTTGCTAGTTGCCCACCAACCTCAAGCAGCGGTTGAGAAAGAGAACTGGAAGGACATTTGGAAGGAATCCCAGGAGGCAAGAGTGAGGCATTGAGGAAGATGAAACGAGAAAGAAAGTCAAATTAACAGCACGTTCTGAACATAGCTGCTCTAGGTGATGAGGCTTCAATTCCACCAGGGCTTTGGAGAAGGGCACAAATGCTTCTACAATTAAGGGCTGTGAGACTGGGGCACACAACTACCCCCTCCACTGTGTGAGCATCTTCCCCAGCAGCGTCATTTCCTTTCACTTTCTCTCTGGCTCTTTCTACACCTCCCACCCCCCTGCAAACCCCAGCAGTAACTGGGGCTGGCCCAGACCAGAGCTGGATGCCACATCCCCTATGGGGTGATGGGGACCATCGCCTGCTGCTGTTAGAAGGAAATCGGCACAAAGGCTGGAGGCCATGTAGGTTCTTGTCTCGCAGGAAGGAAGAATTTCCATGTGGACAATTCAGAGATGAAAGTGAGATGGGTTAAATCAGAAGTCAAAAGTCGCCAGCCACACAATCAGGAAGGGGAACCTTCAAGAGAGAAAAATCAGAAACAATGGTAAAGGTGGAGTCTTTTAAGCGTATTTTTGGGGTGAAGGTTTCAGTAGCTAGCAGTCTAAGCATGGAGTTGAAACTTGTTTAAGGGTAGAATCTGTACTTTCGTCTAGCTTTCTCAAAGTCAAGCCATCAGAAGGGAGTGTGATTGGGGGCTCCCTCCCCACCTTATTTGTTTATTTATTTATTTATTTTAAAGATTTATTTATTTATTGGAAAGTCAGATATACAGAGAGGAGGAGAGACAGAGAGGATGCTATGCCGATCCGAAGCCAGGATCCAGGAATTTCTTCCAGGTCTCCCACACGGGTGCAGGGTCCCAAGGCTTTGGACCGCCCTCAACTGCTTTCCCAGGCCACAAGCAGGGAGCAGGATGGGAAGTGGAGCTGCCGGGATTAGAACAGGTGCCCATATGGGATCCTGGCACGTTCAAGGTGAGGACTTAAGCCGCTAGGCCACGCTGCCGGGCCCTCCCCCCCCCCCCTTTTTTTAAAAGACTATGTGCTTGAAGGAGTTACACAGAGAGAGATTTTCCATCCAGTGGTTCACTTCCCATGCAGCAGCATGTCCCGGGCTGGGCCTGGCTGAAGCCAGGAGTCTCCCGTGTGGATGCAGGAGCCCC